CTGTAGACATTACTGTTCTACCACACGATGTGTATTGAGACTTGATGACGTTTCTGTAGGCATTGCTATTCTACCACATCACACGGTTTGTATTGAGATTTAGTGACTTTTCGTTTTACAAGACCTTTACTGAGAACGTAACAGCTTACATTCAGCTATTACAATATGTTAGGTTCATTCAGCGCCGAAAGATGTGATAGGTTCATTCAACACAGAAAGAGGTGTAATGTTAATTTATATGATCAAATCAGAAGTAAAAACCGATAAGCCCAGGGCTATTTTATGGTAGAAACTACCTTAAGTTGAGAGTTGTCTCAAACAGAAATGCGTTATTACCGGGGTCGATAGTGAGTTTTGTCTTGTTTTAACATGTTAGAACGAAATGAATCTTTGACTGTTACTTTTGTCTTTGTTATGCACTTAACCGTGAGACTGTGTATATGATATCTGTTGAGGTCGTGATGTTAAAAGACTTGACATAGCTGCTGAGATCTAAATGTTACGAGACTGTGGATATATCTGTTGAAGTTTAGATGTTAGGAGACTGTGGATATATCTGTTGAAGTTTAGATGTTACGAGACTGTGGATATATCTGTTGAAGTTTAGATGTTAGGAGACTGTGGATATATCTGTTGAAGTTTAGATGTTAGAAAACTGTGAATGTAGTGCCTATTGAAATGACTAGAATTGTTCAAGTGAAATTTAAATGTTTCTGCCTCACCTTCATTAAGAAACTTGAGTAGATGTCTTATCCATTTCCATAACTTATTACATCTTACTATTGTGGATATTTGGTGATAAAATCCCAAAGATAATACACTTGTGTCACACGTTCATTTCAGTGATTGTACTAATACGCAAACCTTCATAAAAATATAGAAATTTCCATCAATAAGGTTAGGCAATCTGTTCGATGAAACGCTCTTACAGTGCTTGAAAGTCTGAGGATTCAAATGAACTTCAGTTATATGCGAAATATTAGTCTGGAAATTTTTCTTTTCTGTTCTGTTTTCTTTCCTTTTAAAGTGACCATAACAACGTCTTTATTTCTACTGCAAATTAAAAATGTTCTTTCGCAGGCAGTTCAGAGAGCGGGTAGTACACTGCTGCCCAACTAATTATTCATAACTTATACTGCCTGTAATGTTAACTTGACTTCTTTTTTTTTAATGCTTAAACCTAGTTTGGGATCACTTAAACTGGTACAATCCAGAGGAGTAGTCCACCGGGGAAACAGCGGAAAGTTTACGGATTTAGAACACTAAAATCCAGAGTTCGATTCCCTGCGGATAGCCCAATGTGGCTTTGCTCTAAACCAACCAAACAAACAAATGAGAGGAGTAAGCTTAAATAAAAGCAGATAAACAACTTTAAATATTTTGAACACTATATATTAGTAAATTTAGCAAATGATGGAATTCGATCGCGAACACTGTACTTTGAAATGTGTTAGACTGTTTGTTTGTTTGCTTGTTTTGAATTTCGCGCAAAGCTACACGAGGGCTATCTGCGCTAGCCGTCCCTAATTTAGCAGTGTAAGACTAGAAGGAAGGCAGCTAGTTATCACCACCCACTGCCAGCTCTTGGGCTACTCTTTTACCAACGAATAGTGGGATTGACCGTCACATTATAACGCCCCCACGGCTGAAAGGGCGAGCATGTTTTGGTGGAACGGGGATTCGAACCCTCGACCCGCAGATTACGAGTCGAGTGCCCTAACCACCTGGCCATGCCGGGCCAGGTATATGTTAGAATCGCCAATTAATATGCCTAATGTGGGCGCGGATTTCCATTTTCTTTGCAGTCTCTCTTTCTGTTTGCTTTAATAATCTGTCGAATATAATCCACGATACACTAAAAATAATTAAACGTAACACTAAGAGACTTCCTTTACATATACAAACGATTCAGAAAACCAGAAGACACAACCAGAAAGCCCTCGAACGTCTCTCCTAGCCAAGCTGTCTAAGTCCGAAATATTCAATCGCTGGCCTCTTGCCGACAGGCTCGTTAAAGAGATCGGCCAGGGGTCCTCACCTATGGTTAACGGCCGTTGAATAATGCAGCAAGTGACTCCTGACGAAGACCTTCACTAATTATTTCTCTGAAGCACGGTAATTTCGATTGATACCCCAGGAATGCTTTCAACGAGAACACCCCTACCCCCACCCCACACATCGCCCCACGGGTTGTGTGACAGCGCTATTGACATTTAGTTATTTCATATATGCTAGTAAGCGGGAAATAATCCGGCTTAATCAAGCCATCAGGCTAAAAAAAAAAACAGAGAGAGAGAGAGAGATTTCTGTCAACATCCTAAAAGCTAAGATACAAACGTTCCCTTTTAAGTTAGCTCATTAAAAACTGATGTAAAAAATATATGTATATTAACGTTTCTGAGTTCGTAAATGCCGTTTTTTTTTATGTTAACATCTTAAACTACTGGTGGGGTTGCTGAACTGGACAACCCCACAGGGGATCGACGAACTCATTCAAGTTTCTGATGGTACCGAGCGGTTTTATCAAAAGAAGCTCTACCAATCAAAATGTGTATAGCAAGGAAGAAAGAGACGCCACCTGGATGATATATTGAGAAGTCGTGGTATAGTTGTTTTAAAGAGTTCACGCTGTAAATACGTTTGTACTTGTACGTTAAAACTTACATTCATTTTAGGTTCCAGCTAATGAAACGGGAAAAAAAGTGTTGTGGGACCACTACGTCGTATCTTTAAACAGAAAAGATCTATTACCTAATTACCTTTCAGAATAAGAATTAGAAGGCTCATTATTTGAGAATCCGAAATTTACACCGTCTATGGAAAGTTCTAATATATAAATGCAAAACATTTTGCCACTTAGGAAAAAGTTGTGACCTATTACCGGTAAAATTTTGACATGTTGATAAACAAAGGTATCAATCTAAAAGCTTATGGATATTTGTCAGTGGGCATAATGTACTCTACTAATGAATAAGGTTTTGGTTGGTAAGAATAAGATATAACCTTTAAAATGTTTGGATATTTGTCAGGTAATGAGAATTCGTATACTGCTTTTGCTTCAATTTGTAATTTTACACATTCCCAAATCCACATACTTCTCTCGCAGCCGTGCCTACGTTAATCATTCCCTGATCATCTTATATTAACATGATGAAGATCGGTGATAGCATTTCAGAACGTCGTCTCTAAGCCACAACTAGATGAAGCTTGTTGGTTCATTCAAAATGGATATACAGATTGTTAGATTTTGCCAGACGATAATAAGATCTAATCCAAGAATGACGAGACTCGTATCAGTTTAAAGTGAAATGTCATCGTCAGACAGTGACATGCCATCGCCTACAAGCTTATTAAAATATCCTAAGTGTTTATGTCCGGTATTTTTGGCATCGTACTGAAATATGTAAAAAAGATGCAAAACGTCACAGCAGGGTATTTCTACCTTTAGGACGAGAGACTTTTCAAGTAGCTATAATAATAAAAATAGTTATTCGCCTATAAAAATTGCAGGTGATTACGTTTAACTGGTTTAGATATTAAAAGGTTGTGGATGTAACATCTGCTGAAATCTAAATGTTAAGAGACTATGGATATGGCACATATTTAAGTTTGATGTGAAGAGATTATTATGACATTTGATGAAGTCTACTAGTTAAAAGACTGTAGATATGATATCTGTTGAGGTCGAGATGTTAAGAGACTGTGGATATAGCAGATGTTAAAGTTTGACGTGAAAAGACTGTGGTTATGATATTTGCTGAAGCCTAGTTGTTAAGAGACTGTAGATATGATATCTGTTACGGTCTAAATGTTAAGAGACTGTGGATGTGATATCTGTTACGGTCTAAATGTTAAGAGACTATGGATATGGCATATATTGAAGTTTGATGTGAAGAGATTATTGTGACATTTGCTGAAGCCTAGTAGTTAAAAGACTGTGGATGTGATATCTGTGGAGGTCGAGATGTTAAAAGATTGATTATATGATAATTGTTGAGGTCTAAATGTTAAGAGACTGTGTATATGATATCTGTTGAGGTCGTGATGTTAAAAGACTTGACATAGCTGCTGAGATCTAAATGTTACGAGACTGTGGATATATCTGTTGAAGTTTAGATGTTAGGAGACTGTGGATATATCTGTTGAAGTTTAGATGTTAATAAACATCTACCAGTAAGACCAATACATTCTTAACATGTATTAT